ACTATACTATATAATAATTATAATTCATTTACTAAAGTTAACATTATAAATTTAATCAGTACAGAGTACTAAAAAAACCGACCTCAAAAGTACGTGGAATTATATCTATTTGCCAAGTTTTTTTAAAATATATATCCTGTATAGTTCGCCACTATACAGGACTTGACACTGGAGATAATAAAAATCGATTCTCACTACTCAAAGTATATTGAGAGAGAAAAACGCCTTGAATTGGAGAATAGTAAAACCAACCATCAAAATAATTGCTCCTTAAGTAAAATTTAGGCGCTATTTATAAAAATTAATGTTCATGCGTGATCTGCCACCCTTAGAGGTGGATGATTTTCTTCAAAATGAAATGGGACCACTATGGAGGTACCCTCTTTCCAACAAAAAAAGAATCATGAAAATCGGTTCACAAATACCGGAGTTATCGCGTAACTCACATGCAAAAAAAACAGTCGAATTGAGAACCTCCTCCTTTTTTGAAAGTCGGTTAAAAATATTAATTGTACTGGTGTTCATTTAACAATCCATCTAAAAAAGACTGTAGTCCTCTTGTTAGCTTAATGCAAATGAATAAATAAGTAAATAATGGTTTGACCTACATTTACCTCCTACCTACCACGGCCTCTCAAAAAAAAGATACAACCGATTTATGATAACGACCATTGACTTACAAATAAATGGACGACGGGTCTAATACAAAAACCACGGAAAAAAATGTCCCAAGTCAACCTATTCGAAATTTAAATTGTAATGTCATCGCAGTATCGCGCTGTCAGTCGAACAAATGAAGACTAAAGCGGAGTTTGGCGCTCTGTATACGATTTTAGCGCCTTACAAGTGCGGACACTTTTTAGCGCGGACCCGACGTCCATATAATTGTAAGTCAATGATAATGATAACGACCCTAATTTTTGAACGGTGGACCGACCAAACCTAGTTTTTTTGCGACTTAGATTTAGTCGAAATGGCGACTTTTTACCTGACTAGTCAAATTTCAAAAACTCGACCATGGTCCCGCTGGAATAAGGCACATAAAGTAATGCAGTGAGAGTTTAAAAAGTGTTATCGATTTCAGCTCACCTGGCAAACGCGACGAAGACGACCCTCCTCTCTCTGCCACTCCCGACATGGGCTCGTCCTCGACGCGCGTGTCCCTCAACGCGGGACTAGGTGCCTTGTGCGAGCCTCGCGACGTGAGGGACCCGAGAGACGACGGCAAGCTGACCTCAGGCGGTTCCAGCCCCAGCCGCGAAGTCCAGCAGATCATGTCGCACAATGACGACATTTACAAACCACATCTGGTAAGCTTTATTTAGCAAGTGACGTCAACACAATAAATAGTCATTCCCTATCGCTATTACTGACCATAGAAACTACAGACGTTTATATTAAAGATGACAATCTACGTAAGTTTAAAGATGTCAACTTGTGAGTCGCGAAACAACCGTGGACTACCACCGGTCTCTTAAAGACTGTCAACTGTTACTAACATTGAAAATGAAACTATTTTTTTCACATCTAAATCGCCTATGTCCACTGACAACCAGCGTCAAAGCCTAATTTCGGCTCTGCCATTGCCTGGATCATTTTGAACACGCCACAGCCACTTTGCTGTAATTACTGGTATCATGACTGTGGCATCACAGTACATTTACTCAAATATTTAGTATGCCCGTAAAAATATACATAATTTCATTAAGAAAGAGGATATCCATAATATTAACCTTATTTAGAACCAAGTCCAAACTCATGGTACCATTTCGCTTACCTAAGGTAAACGATTCTTTTATGGGGAACTATACGTTTTTACAATAAGATCCCGAAGCATATATTAAGATTATTATTTCCTAAGTTTAAAACTTACATTAAAAGTATTTTAATTGAAAAGTCATATTACAAAAGACTATATCTTAGATAAAGATGTATGGAAAGACAACATGAGTCTGGATTCCACGCAAATATTATTCAAAGTGTATTCCCATAGCATTTAAGTTTATTTGAAAAGAGCAATCTCTTTTTTCTTGCTCGTTCTTCTCAGAGAAGAGAGCACAGTGAACGAACAGTAGTCTAAAAAATAACATTTTCAAGTGTAAAAATTGGACCTATGGAATAAAACTATTATTTGACTGTAAGTGATTCAATGTCAATAATAAAATTATTTTGGCTACTAAAAATTTAATTTGTATGCTTCGTTATATTTTCTTTTTTGTTGTACTTTTGCTTTGTCAATTTTTATTTCTGCGTATTTTTGTGTTGTGGCGTTGCAATAAGCGGTTTATATTCTATTCTGTATTTGGTATCAGCCATGACCATGGTACCTGTAAAGGGTTCGAAAGTATAATATACGCGATTTAGATCCGATAAAATAGTATCATTTCGAATGTCTAACAATCGCGGAAACCTATCAATATATTACTAACATACTTTGAAGGAGGACGAGTCGAGCCAAACGCCTGTAGCAGAAGAAGATTCGTCATCAGTAATACAGAACGGCACAGACCCCGTTTACGGCGGCGGCACTTTGTTCGCTGAGACGTCTGGCGGCAAACTGACGCACAGCGGCAGCGACACCTCGTGGCCGCAGATATCTCTCGCGCAGATCACAGAAGCCAACCAACGGAAGGCCTCCAGCGACAAGTCTAGCAGCCAGTCACTTAATAACTCCCTTAACGTGTCCGCTGGTGAGTCACTAGATCTTATACAGTAATAATCAAAATTATCCATTATGCGTAAAAGATCAATTATTATTTAAAGGTTATTTATATTATACAGCTCTGCTAATTTGGATGACGAAAATCCATGAGAGATCAGTTTCACACGAAAGGGTATTAAGAGTAATATAAGTGGAGTTTCTACTTATATTTTTAACCCGTCACGGTAGATTTTGCGCGAAGTAATTGACACGACCATAACGTACGAAACAAAAATGGCGGATTTAGCTCAAGTATGTGGAACTTCACGTACTGTTGGCACACGTACGGCGCAAACTAAGCACTTCTGCTGTATTGTATGAAAATTAGTAGAGGCGCGGCAGTTACAAGAGTGTAATTTAAAGGGGCCCTACGGCGATAATGTGAATAAATGTATTTATAAAGGGCAATCCGTAGTATTACTTATTATTCTTAGGATTATCTGCGTTACGAATGAATAGTAGTTAACTGCCTCCGTGGTCGAACGGATACCTTGCCACGCAGAGGTCCCGGGTTCGATTCCCGTGCCGGGAGAAATATTTGTACGGCCCACATTTATTCCTCTCGCGAGTCCCTATCAACCGGACTACGACTTCATGCATGTATGATAATAATTAAATCGAGTATCGATTGCCAGCGGAGGCTTGCTCGAAAGGAGCTCTGGCCCCGCTTTGCCGTCGTAACTCGCGGGCGCGCTTCGCAGTGGAGCGCGCGGGCAGCGAGGAGGGGCTCGGGCCGGGCGCGGGCGCCGCCCCCTCGGCCGGCGAGCGCCTGCGGCTGGAGGCGCTGGAGCACAAGCTGGACAAGCTGTGCGACCTGCTGCTGCAGCAGTCGCGGGACCTGCGCGCCCTGCGCCAGGACGTGCAGGCGCCGCGGAAGCTGCTGGACGACGCGCTGGCGCAGCACGCCGCCCGGACCACTGCCGCCATCGAGAGCGCGCTGCAGGACGGGTGAGCCACCTCTTCGTTTACTTTTCGGGATCCTCGTTCAATATTCGCTATTGTGTTTTTATTGTGCTTGTTTTTTTTGAATGTCCATAACCGTTACAGTGCCGCTCAGAGCTTTAAATCGTAAAGATCTCGAGGGACACTGCCACTGCGGCCGTCACCCTGACACGTTAGTTGAAAAATCCCCAGTACCTGTAATTGCACCCTTACCCTTCAAAGCTGGAACGCAGTAATGCTCACGTGACCCCTTGGCGGTAGAAATAGGAAAGGTGGCAGTACTTTCCTGGACACACTCTTTCTCAAGGAGCTCTACTGCTACTATATATCCGTATAGAAATGTCGTAAAAAAGCCTGCAACTGCTGCTACAACACAGTACTTGCATTGATTAGATTTCTAAAGTTACCAAATTGCACACAAAAGCAGCGATCAACTTTCCTTTCTTGACGTAGTCGATAATGTATTGTAACGCTAACAAATTATTCCTTTTTACGGTTTTTCAACCGGTACATTTTAACTTTTGACCACACTTGCTTGTAAACAGTGTCATGACATGCAGGCAAAGTCGACCATAACGTCTTAAATTACGCCCACAGGTTTTTTCATTACATTATCGTCCTATGGGTTTTTTACGTCAAGATTAAGCAAAAAGTTTTAATTCTCGAAAAACCTGAACGCATATTTCGCTTAAATTTGACGTATAAAAAAATTCAACATTTGTGAATTAAAATTCTGCAGTATTTTCAGAATTTGGAAATTATTTATTTTATATCTAAAACATTGTAGCTGCGTGCGTCTGTGCCTATTATAACATTTTTCTTCATTGTCTATCTAAGAATAGCTGGCAATCTGTTTAAAATCCGTAAATGCTGTGTTGTGAAGCGGTATTTATTCTCAGAAAGTATAAATTATATTTGCATCTATTTTCTCGCAGATGTAATGAAAAACATTGTATGTAGCACGGGCGGCAAAAATCACAAACCCTCGACTTATTAAAGCCCTCAGCCTCCAGATTCGGGCTTCTAATAAACTATTTACTGTCCTTAATATACAATGTACTAAAGAGGCATAAGCGGTTGCTCCATTAGACCAGAGACCAAACAGTAACGAGAACGGTCACACTCCGCCCCTCCCTAGCTTTAGATACCGCACCACGCTCCGCACATTGACAGAACGACAACTAAGCTGTCGGCGAGCCTTATCGCGCTGAGACGGCTTTGATATTTGAATATATACTCCCGGACACATAATTCGAGCCACTATATCATAGTATCAACGAAGAAAAGATTTCCCCCGGTTTTGAAAGTCCGAATTTTCTAAAAGGACTTATGGAAAAGACTTTTAATATTCTTGTTTCCAAATTGCGTAGGAACTATCCTACGCAATTTTGAAACTAGAATCTAAAGAACACTGATCGATTGATCAACTATCTTGATCAATCGAACAGTGTTTAAACTTAAGGCATTTAATACTGATGCGAGGTGGCTCGAATTATGTGTCCGGGAGTGTAGTTTTCATTTATTCATTACGAAACTTGTACGTTAGTATATAACATCATTTTTCGTTACTGTTTATAACGGGTTGTATATTGTAGTCTAGGCTCTACTCTATGAGTAGAAGTACTGGCTGAATGAATATAGATTTGTGTATAGAATATATTTTAAAAAATATGATAAAAAAAAGAAGAACATCTTGGCAGATCTAGAAGTAGCCTCCATAAGCGAATATGTGAAAAACAAAATAAATATCTAGTTATGAAGATAATCCCAGTTTATATTTATAAAGTACCTAAAGATGAAACGAGGTAAATAAAAAAACGTATGTCTGAGACTCATTCAGTTATTGTTTTCTACATTTATTTAGTGCAGAGTAATATATAATACAAATTTTGTCATATCAATATAGTGAGAAGTAAATTAGTAGACAAGGGTTCTCGAATTTTCAATTTATATTGCCGATAAAGAGGTAGTGAATATAATTATTACCTAACTAAGTAATTATAAAGTTGGACACGCAATTTATAACATTGTAGGTGGTTTAATTTTTTTTTGTATTTACATAAACCTTCAGGATTATTCTAATACCCACTGAATTAATGAAAAATATAATTGATATAAATACGTAATAAACAAGAGTAATTATTAGGATTCTATTAATAGGATTATAGACATTGACTTACAATTATATGGATGTCGGGGCCGCGCTAAAAAGTGTCCGAACTTATAGGGCGTTAAAATCGTATACAGAGCGTCATTCACGCTTTAGTCTTCGTTTGTTCGACTGACAGCAAAGCAAGCAAAATTAGGCAGCACTGCGATGACATTACAATTTAAATTCAACGTTTTAGCTTTTTCATATTCCTTTACATATCACTAAGTTTAAATAGGTTGACTTGGGACATTTTTTTCATGGTTTTTGTATTAGACCCGTCGTCCATTTATTTGTAAGTCAATGATTATAGACAACAGATTCGGCTCTGACCACGTAAAAGAAAGTGATCGGTGAACCCTGCCACTTCACACATTTGCGTAGTAGGTAAAGGGCTTCCGACCGTCGTACGGAGTGTCCGGGCTGTGCTTAGACCCAGAACCATGTAACCTCCAGCTGGGAGCGAATCGCGCGCGCCGGCGAGGCGGCGGGGTCGCGCGCCGCGGCCGCGGCCGGGCTGGGCGCGGCGCGCGCGCTGGAGCCGCTGGCCGCCGCGCTGCAGCACGAGCTGGCCTCCAAGCTCACGGCCACCGACCACCTGCTGCGCGACAACATCGACAAGCTGGCCACCAGCAAGGTAATTGTCATACCGGACTCTTAACACAGTAGTTGCAGCCGCCAGACCCAAGTAGAAGACGATGAGGATCTCGACGAGCTCGTAAAATTCAAAGACGATTTAAGTTGACTGTAATATATTAGCAATGGGTAGCTGGTTTACAGGAGCAGTGCCTTTGATCGCTAAACAGTGGTGGTTTCTTATAGAAGTACATTTCAAACGTGAACGTCTCTTTTGACCTTTTTGAGTTCATATAAACAGTTCGTTAAATTGTGTTAGGGATGAAATAACATGTATGTGGTGTTAGTTGATTGGTTCAAAATAGACGCTTACGTAACGTGCCCTTGAAAAGCGTTTAGTTACAGATTTGAAAGTTATATTAAATTTTATTACAAAAATTCTGTTGCGTTCGCAACAAGTGTATGAACTCAAAGGCTGCATTTTTTTAGAATCGATGAAAAACGAATTACTCACTTCCCGTGAAAGATTATTTAAATGTATGTACAGATTAACATTTATTACAGGCATTTAAACAATAGTTTAAATGTCAAAATACAAGGGAAATAACAATTTCATATTTTTAGTAAGGGCTGTTTTGTCCAGAACTAGCTCACAAATAGTTTGCCTCATATTGAGTTAAATGGATGTCTTTTAATTGTTTCTCGCAATATTCCAATGATGGTTGTATTGACGCGTAGAGACTAAACATTTTACGTTCAGCAGGAGTATAATCGTGAATTTCACATATTTTGAGTTACAACACTATTGTAATAGCTGTGCGATATGTAACTAAGTACATAATGTTTCAATAATGCCGTAATTCATTTTTATAAAGGAAGCATTTTAATGTGGTTATGTTGCTATAAGCCACTTAACCATTGCCTATAAACTTTTTGACAAACTTCGCCCACTACGTGACCTAATTAATCATAAATATTTTGTGGAAATTTATCAGTATCGATATTTGTTACACAGGTAATAAGAAAATAAAACCCAATATCGTAGTATGTTTAAAGGTAAAACCACATAATTGACATTTTAAACATAAAGTCTTTACATAGGACACACTATAAGTTTCCGGAACTGGCCACTTACATACACAATATTTAAAAAGTAATCACAACATTTGAAAATGGAACTCTTTGGCTGTAGAATACAGTTTATTTCATCTGACTGCCACTTGTTTTTACATTGTGGCATCATTTTAGAAATTGGTTGTCTACATCACCATGGATTTAACTCGTGAACATTTTTAATATGATTTTCTTCGACTTTAAGTGCAATTTAACAGCTCAGCGGAGCTTCGCTCGACTTCGAACTGCCTTTAGCGATGAAGTACCCTGCAAAACGACTATTTATAGCTGATTTGCGGAATTTAAACGCAGTCATGTGAATCTCAGTGACGAATTTCGTGATGGTAGCCCGTCCACTGCTGTGAACAACAAAAACATCGATGCTGTGCGCCGTATGATCAAAACAGACAAGCATGTCACATACCATGAGATTCGGGCATTTTTAGGCATAGGCAAGAGTCAAATACAATCAGTACTACACAAACATTTGGGTGTGAAAAAGCTGTGCTCTCGGTGGATCCCACACAATTTGACTGAGGGTCAAAAAACCGATCGCGTCACTTGGTGCAATGCCATGCTTACCAGGTTCAACGAAGGGGCGTCAAATTTAGTGTGGGACATAGTAACAGGTGACGAAACATGGATTTATAGTTACGATCCCAAAACAAAGCAGCAATCGAGCTTTCGAGATGAGCCGAAACCAACCAAAGTGGCACGCGTGCAAAGTGCCTCTAAGCGGACGATTGCTGCTTTTTTTTAAATAAAACTGGACACGTACCTATTGTTGCTTTTTTTTTTACAATATTTGTACTATAATAGAGGGCTGTAGCTCAGATGCATTGCGAGAGGCATTTCTATAAACTCAAACTATAATAATCTTCAATTTTATACTTTATTTCACTTTTTTACATAATTTTGGCGTAGGGTTACGAAACAGTCCTCTTAATATCCTTAAACAACAAGAACCAACCCACATATAACGCTAACAACATATCCTAACTACATGTCCTAACATACATATGGGATGGGGATATATCCCATATGAAAGACGTCTAATTAATTAAATAAATATATTTTCCCAGAATGCAGACAGTCCTTGATCAACTGGAGGGATGAGCAGGAACTATTCGCACATACAGGATAATATATCTATCAAATTTAAAAAAATATATAAGAAAAACAAAAGTAAATGTTATCTATTTGATAGTGTATCTTCTCCTCCCTTCCTTCCAAGTCTGCATGTACAGGAAAATATTAATTTTTCTCCAAATATTCCTCATAACGTCAATGTGGTTCCACATGAAAAGAAAACATAAACGATTAATTAACCTAATAGAAAACAAGAAAACATTAAATTATCTCCTAAAGAACTTTTTCATCCTATTCACATGGACTAGATCCTGCCTACACAATCTATTCCTATTTACATCTACTTTTCTTACAATATAATTAACCCTACTTAATCGACCTATTACTCTATATGGCCCTTTAAATAATCTAGCTAATTTCATACTCCTATTAGAAATTCTCCTAGGACAATATAACATTATCAAGTCCCCTGGCTGATACAAAACCATTTTTGCCTTCTTATCATAATTTCGCTTCTGTTTTATCTGCGCCCTCACTATTCGTTCCTTAACTACATCAATCAACGCTGCTTGTTTTGCAATTTTATCTTGCAGGTTCTCCGCAACATTGACACAATTAATCCCTAATTCCATATCTGACGCACATAAGGATTCCCTACCGAACAATACCATATATGGTGACACCCCGGTACTGCTATGTTTGCTAGAATTATAAGCAAAACACACCAATGGTAACATGCTACACCAATTCCTTTGTTCGCTTCCTATATATTTCGCTAACATTCCTAACAGCGTCCTATTAAATCTCTCACATAAACCATTACATATCATCTCTGGCAAAACCGAGAAGCCATCCAAACTTTTTGATACGGTTTTCAAAGGAGACTTTTCTTTCTTTGGTCCAATATCTATCATGGACTTAGAAGAAGAAATTTTATTGTCAATTTCCACTTTTGACAACTCGAGATTACACTTTTCCAAAACATCTCGACCCAGAACCAAATATTTTTCAAGATCGTCTACAACCAGCAACTTCGAAGGATATTCCCTTCCATTAATCATTAACGACACTTTGGTGGACGACTGCACATTTATTGGCGTTGCACCCACTGTGCGTAATGGAAAACTTGGACTATCATCGATACGCAACTGCAACCTTTCCGCAAAATAACGAGAAATAACTGAATTTGAAGCATTAGTATCCATCAACGCCTCGCAACATACATCATTAATAAAAACAGATATAAAAGGTGCCCTATCTACGCTAGACCTATCAAATGTAGACAAATTTTCTACATGTTCAGTTGCGCTTTTGTGACAATCACGCTGAGGAGATCCCGGCGAAGATCCACTACTATGTGCTCGTGAATACCCTTGACTTGGCGTATCCTGCTGCACGATTGGTGCTTGTGGCACTAAATATTCCGACTGCTTAGACTCGGGTCTAATTATCGGTGCAGAGACATCCTGTGTTTGCCAACAGCAAGAATGCTCTACTGGCAATACAATATCTTGTCTCACATTATAGCTGTGATTAAATACATCATCTACTTGGATAATTGTTTTCCTCAACTCCTCTTTAGATAAATACAAATTGGTAGCCAGCATCCATTTAAAATTGGGTAACAAAGACTTCAAAAAATGCTTAATAAACTGAACATCTTGAATATTCGCTTTCATCGCTAACTCATCTAAACTATAAAAATAACTTATCAGCGATTCATTAGGCCCCTGTCGCCTATAATAAAATTCACGGGCGTAATCTATCTGTGAGGGAAATTCCTCTCTCAGCTTCTGTGCAATCACATCATACGTCATGTATGAAGAAAAATACGTTTTGTACCATTGTAGAGCTGGCCCCTCCAAATACAATGCAAACACGTATTTCTTCTGCACATCAGACCAATTATTTAATGTACTAATGGTCTCAAATTGATTCAAAAACTCGTCAACGTCGTTGAATCCATTAAACTTTTGTGCCGACATACTATATATATTTTTCTCCTCGCACTTTTCTATGGCACCAAATATAAATCAATATTAAATAAGTAAAAAAAATATAAATTACGACCTTTGTTACGTTTTCGTTGTGGTTGTGTCGTAAAAACATATAAAAATATTTTCCAACGGAGTTCTCTTCATTGGAACTTTTCCATCATTCGCAACAGTACCGTGAATAGTGATTGGTACACGACCGACATTTCTTTGCCGGAAGTTATTGACAAACTCCGTAAAAATAACCGTAAACGCCGTACCATCTTGCACCACGATTATGCCAGTTCTCACACGGCCAGACAGATAAATGAATTTTTGAAGGTGACCAACGTTGACCTTATGAGCCATCCCACAAACAGTCCCGAACTGGTACCTTGTGACTTTTATTTATTTCCAAAAATTAAGAACCAATTACGCGGTTAACGATTTTCATCACCTGGGCATACTCTTCGACAGAGTATGAAAAATATGTTTTAGAGATTGTCACAGAGGAGTGGCATAAATGTTTTCAAAATTGGTTCATTAGTATGAAAAAAAACGTTAACGCTAACGGAGAATATTTTGAGAAACAATAAATTCATTTCTGATCATTTGTAGTATTTCTTTCTTATTCATTCCGGAAACTTATAGTGCGCCTCACGTGATTTATATAGCTATGGTAAGAAAATCACTATTTTTCTGCACGTGAAACTCAATAATAAAAAAGCTATAAACTTAATAAGAGTTCTATCCGCTGAAAGATGGTGATTTATCTTACAATACGTACGTAATTTGGAGATTTTTTGTGGAAAATGTCACTTATATGGTTTTATCATAAGCAATGTTTTAACCGAATCGTTCTATTGGATAACGTTCTCGAATCGAAGGGCGCTTTCCGAGCTATTCAGAACATTCGAGTTAAACGTTTATTCGGGTTCGGATACGATATCGTTATTCAATAACCTAACCTCCGGTTAAAAAAACCGACCCCAAAAGTCATTCATCCCCTAGTTTGCCACCCTTAGAGGTGAAATATTTTCTTGAAATTTAAATAGGACCACATCTGAGAAACCTTCTTTCCAACAAAAAAAGAATCATCAAAATTGGTTCACAAACGGCGGAGTTATCGAGTAACATACATACAAAAACAAACATGCAGACGAATTGAGAACCTCCTCCTTTTTTTTTAAGTCGGTTAACAACGTATACGGAGTTACTCGGTGAAATAGATTGTAAGAAAAATTAAAATCCTTTTATATGCATTAATAAGACTTTAAAAATCTTAAATATAGGTATGATTACTCTAGCATTAAAATAAATTAATAAAATTGAACAAAATCCAGACTTTATTTCAAATAATACGAGATTTCCATATTACATTCTTATTTTGTAAACAATAGGACAACGGCAACTTTCAACCGATAACTGTGTGTCTGAATAATGTTTGTAGCCTTTTCCGGCCGAGAAGCTCGAGTAATCTACGGATGTGACGTCATTTCGGTTCGGTTTCTAAAAATATAAAAAATCGTACGATATCTAATCGAATCGGTCGACAACAGAGTTATCGTAAGGCTCTGAATCGACCCCCTGTTTTGTTCTTCTTTGAGCGGTGATAAATCGCATGATCTAGATGGCTGAATTTCGTGAAATACTGCGATTGGGAGATTTGGTTTGCAATAAATTCATTGTTTCGGTGGCTGTGTGATTTGTGACACTGTCTTGGTGAAACCACATGGATATCACCCATATCATCAATAATAGGCCAGAGTTGAGTTGTTAACATCTCTCGATAGCGTAATCCATTGACCGTAACCGCATTATAAGCAACTTAAAATTAGTTATGTCTTAGGTGATTGCTTATTGTTTTTCAAATAAGCATTTCTTTTTGTTATTTTTTGTATATTACTCCCTTTTAAATTAATTCTTGTTGCTATAAGCCGCTTTGTTATTCGGTTAATCTTACCTGATTTGCTTCCCACGAGACGGGCGTAGCCTAGTATGGGGATCATAGTTCAAATATGTAATTGTTAATTGTAAGTTACGGTAAATGATTTTTTTTAATTATTATTATTTCCAGGCGAATTTTCGAAAAAAAAAACGGCCCAGTGTCAACAGCACAAGTTGCACAGCCACTGAAACAATTGATTTATTGCAAACCAAATTTCCCGATCACATAATTTCACGAATTTCAGCCGTTAAGTGTCCAGCTCGATCGTGTGATTTAATACCGCTGGATTATTTTTTATGGGGTTATGTTAAAGACAGACTATACGGAGCCAATCGAATCGATTGCAGCCCTCAAACTCAAAATTCGTGAAGTGATTAACCGAAAGAGACCCACCATTTTGTCAAAAAGTGATTAAAAACTTTGATGAAAGAATCGATATCTGTAACTGTAGTCGTGGTGGACATTTATCAGATATTCATTCATACTTTTTTCAATACGATAAAAATTGCAAGCATTGTCATCTAAATTTATTATTTTATTTTGATTTACAAAACAAAGTTCTTGATGAAAAACCCTTTATATTTCGTTTTGAGTTTCATTATTTGTTAACTTTTTAAGCTATGGCCTTTTTTGACAATTATGGAATCGTCTTGCCTACCTAGAACCACTGGGTATTACAGTTTGTAAAATAACCCATGTGTAACGTTCCAGACCGTCATGGAGCGTCTGAGCACGTCTATCGCCAAGTCGCTGTCGGAGATGGTGCGCGACTCGTTCCGCGCGGCGCTCTTCGAGAGCGTCGTACCCGTCATGGAGAAGGCGCACGCGCAGATATTCCGCCAGATCAATCAGGCCTTCCAGACCGGCACCAAAGAATGTTAGTATACAAAATTTGTTTTTACAAGGATATAAGTAATACAAATAAACGTACACGTAGACAAAGCGCGTCACAAATAATAACAAGAAAAAAACAATATCGTGATATTTAATAATCTTAATAAATGAAATATAAATAACTATGTAATCAATCTGTCACGTCTGTCCACGATACTACGGTGCTGATACTCTTTGACAAAATTCAACACTATAGTCGTCACAAAATAATAGATCATATTTGACACATGTCATCGCAACGTAAATAGTGATGTGAACTGCAATATCGGTAACCAGTTTAAACGATTCTCACGAGAAATCGATTAAAAATTTTAGGAGTTTGTAATCGTTTAGGTTATTTTTTCTGTTCATTGCTTTTCAGTTCTAGATATATCAATCAACATTTATTTAAACGTTATACAGTTTAATAGAAATAATAAGTAAGTATTTTAAGTGAGCACAACGGCAACCTGTACTTGTTGTTGTATTGTAGTTATACATTAGCATAGTTCACGAGGATAACCTGTACGTAAATAACAAAATTCTGAAGTAAAACAAAAGACCTCCTTATTGGAATTTTTTATTTATCAACGTCATCGGAAGATGAACCAAAACCATCTGTTGAGCTAGTTTCACCAGTCCATATAATTAACTCGTTTTCAATTAAATTATCAATATTAACATCTCTGTCAAAATCTTCTTTTATTAGTTTTCTAGTTTTTTCCACCACCTTTCTCCAGTCTTCCTTTGTTACTTTAGTACATGCTTCCTTTAATAAAGTCATCATTTTTTTTGTGGAGAACGGTGGCTTAGTATTATTACGTCCTGCGTAGCCTGTAAAAAAAAAACACTGTTGTAAAATAGTAATGTTCCTTCACAGTGATATTACAAATTCGAAAGTTTATATGTTACCTCTTTACATTTGTACTTTATTAAAATATGCTACTAGTACAAAATAAGTCTTAATATATACGAATTTAAAATAACAGTATTAAATGCAAAAATATTAACCTTTAATTTGAGCCCAAATCAACTCAATAGCATTGTATTGACAGTGGTACGGCGGTGTCCTTATAATTTTATGTCCATGCTCAAGTGCCAATTCATCAATTTCATACCTAAGTTTTGTAGGTCTATGCTCTCGCACTAATCTTAACAATTCCACTTTCAATAGCTCCATGTCAGCTTCGACACCATTCCTCTGTAGCCATGCCACCAAATCAGCCTTTTTATTTGCCTGAGTCGGCGCTCGATCTATTTGAACCGAATGATACGATGCATTGTCCATAATTATTGTACATTGTTCGGGGAGGTTCTGAAGTAAAGTTTTAAACCACTCTTTAAATTTGTTTGCGTCCATTTCTTCGTGATATTCTTTTGTACTTTTTGATTCAAATGCTAGTAAAGCATTATTAACGAAACCTCCCCCGGCTGATCCAGCATGGCAAATTATGAGGCGACCACCTTTTCCCATTGGCACTTTCGAGCTGGATGCTTTAGTGTCGTCGGTCCATGATTGTGGTACTGTGTGGTTTGAGTTCAACCAAGTCTCATCGATAAACACAACATTATCCCAATTTGTAATTTTATTCATTTCTCTCAAAAATGAAACTCTTTGTAATATTAAATCATGTCTTTCCATCATAATATTTCTTTTGTCAGACTTCTTGTATTTAAAACCAATTTTTTTCAAAATTGTAATCAGTGAGGTAGCACTCCCAGTAAATAAGCCAAGCTCTCGAAGTGATACCAACAATTTACTCACAGTAGGGTACTCGTGTCTAGTATAATATGTATAAACATGGTTACGAATAGCGTCTGCATCGAACGTGTCGATACCTGTTACAGGCTTGCTTTTCTTCCTCTTTCTAGGCGTATGTAATACGTTTTCTTGAGAGCCGGAAGGCCCATATTTTTCTTGTATGATGGTGTGTACCGTTCTTTTGCCGATTCCAAGTGCACTTGCGACGCGATTTTGCACTTGTGTCACTG